AGTTGATTCTTTGTAATTTTTTTCAGTTCATGATGGGTTTTAGTTTTGTCAGCATCCTTCTGTCCGCCACCTCCTTGATGGAGTCCAGAGAGCAGTCCAGGACAGAACCAGCTCTCTTAACCAGCTTGTTGAGTCTCTTTCTGTCACTGACCATGCTACCTCAAGTCCTCCATCATTGTGCCTGTGCCCAAGAAATCAGCTGTCACCTGCCTCAGTGATTACCGCCCTGTTGCTCTGACACCAGTAATCAGGAAGTGCTTTGAGAGGATCATCCTAAAGTACATCAAGGACATCATCCCTGGTGGTCTGAACAGCCATCAGTTTGCCTACCGATCAACAGAGAATGTTGTCTCAATAGCACTACACACAGCCCTGACCCACCTGGTGCATCCTAACACTTATGTCAGGATGCTATTTGTTGACTTCAGTTCGGCATTTAATACTGTAATCCCAGACAAACTGGCACTGTAACTGCACAATCTGGGAATTCCTGCAATGATGTGTCATTGGATTAAGGACTTTCTCACTAACAGGCCTCAAGTGGTGAGAATCGGAAGCTGCACCTCATCCACACTGGTCCTGAACACAGGCACACCACAGGGCTGTGTGCTCAGCCCAGTTCTCTTCACTCTGTTTACCCATGACTGTGATGCCATTCACTCCACAAACACAGTTGTGAAGTTCACAGACGACACCATCGTAGTGGGTCTCATCTCAGACAATGATGAGACTCACTACAGAGAGGAGATGCAGCACCTGACAAGGTGGTGTTCAGATAACAATCTTGTCCTGAACACCAACAAGACTAAGGAAGTCATTGTGGATTATAGGAGGTCCAGGAAGACAAAATATACTCCTCTTCTCATACACCTGGAGGTGGTGGAGCAAGTTGATAACATCAAGTTCCTGGGCATCCACATCAGATCTGACCTGACCTGGTCTCTGAACACATCCTACCTGGTGAAGAAAGCCCAGCAAAGGCTTTTCTTCCTCAGGAAGCTTAAATGCACTGGTCTCTCCTCTCAGCTGCTCGCAAACCTCTACAGAGCAACAATAGAGAGCATCCTCTGTCTCAGTGCAACAATGTGGTATGGGAACTGCACTGCACAGGACAGAAAGGACTTGACCCGGGTGGTGAGAACAGCTTAGGGCATTGTAGGGAGTCCTCTTCTGGATCTGGACTCACTATACACTCAGCGGATCCAGAGGAGGGCTGGACGGATTGCTGCAGACCCCACCCACCCAGGTAACAGTCTGTTTGTGCCTCTTCCCTCCAGGAAAAGGTACAGGAATATAAAGACTAAAACAGACAGACAGACGCAGCTTCTTCCGCAGAGCTGTGAAATCAATCACCCCCCTAACCCCCAGTCACACACACAACCTTCCCCCTATGGACAGACACAGACAGAACACTGGACCTCTGCAGACACACACCCACGCTCACATCTCCTCCTAAAGAGATTTGCACTGAGCTGCACCTCATAATGTTACTACACTCTTTTGCTGCTAACATGCTGCTGACCTGATTAGGTCCCATACATCCCTTTTTATTTGTTCATACTTATACAATTTATACAAGACTTATACAATTTAGTGTTATGTAAATAATGTGTCTTTTAAGCCGAGAGCTGCTGGAAAATAATTTGTTGTGCTATGCATAATGACAATAAAAATTCTTGACTTGACTTGAAAATTCAACTTTAAAAAGTTACCAAATGGAAAAGACCAAAGTACTGTGCATGTTTTGCAAAGCAGAATTTAATTATCATCAAAGTAATTCATCTTTGACGTATCACCTGAGGGTGAAACATCCAGGTGCTACTGCAGAGACATCAGGTACTCGAAGTGGACCATTATCCAAGCAGACAAATGACAAAGTAACAGGGGTGTAAACAGAAACCAAGAGAAACCAACAAGTTTTCTGTTACTGTTCGCTGTGCTCCACTCTAGTTTGTGTATGCAGCATTTCCCGCCAGAGTTCAAACACGCCTCCTTCTTAACGACACAGGCCAAGGAAAAACGGCACGCAATAAAATCATTATTAAAAATAGCTGGCAATAAATTTAATTATTGTTTAATTGGGTCTAGTTACGTAGCTGTGTGAGACAGCCAAGAACACACATACACGGCTGGGTCACTGAATCTACGAGAGATACAGTAGTGTTCCACACTCCAGCTCGGTATGTGGTGGTAATGCACCTACAAGTTGGTTTGCCAGCCGCCAATCAAAAGAAGAAGACTGGGTGAGAACGTCAGTAGTGAGTCATACCAAAACATTTGAAAACTGTTAAAAGGTTAACAGCAGATAAAAGTGGATGAGAACCAAAGTTTGGGGACACTTTATTTTACGACCAGAAAGAACACTGTCTGGTACCAACTATGCAAAATGTAGTAGCAGAGGTCCATGACACTAATGTCCCGGACTCACCTATCAAGCTAGCGGACCGCTCTACACACCACAGAGAAAAAGGCAAGGACTCCACTAAGGGCCACGGGGGTGGACTGTGCATCTACACAAACAATAACTGGAGCATGGACATTGCCATTATTGACAGACATTGCTCACCACACCTAGAGTTGCTGGCAGTTAACTGCAATTCCTTCTGTGTGCTATGAGAGATTGATGTTGTTTGCTGTTACAACTGTGCATATGCCACCAGATGCCAATGCTACATGCTAACAGCAAAAAACAAACAACAGAAAACATCCCCCATGGGGTTTTGATTGTGGCCAGGGATTTCAATCATGTCAACCTGAGGACTGTGCTCCCAAGGTTTGAGCATGTCAAATGCTCAACCAGAGGGTAAAAAAAAAAAAAAAACACACTGTACTGTGTTTATTCTAAATTCTCCAAAGGCTATAGAGCCTCTCCCCTCTCTCACCTCAGTCAGTGTAATCACTTTCAGTCAGTCACTTTTTCTAACCCCAGCTTCATCAAGAATAAGCAATCCACTATTAGGACAGTTCAAATCTGACCAGAGGGAGCATCCTTACAACTGCAGGACAGCTTTCAGTGCACTGACTGAAGTCTGTTTCACACTCAGAACCTAGAAGAATACACATTAACTGTACTCTTCTGGGTGGCACAGCGGCATGGTAGTTAGTAAGAAGGTTCTGGGTTCGAGCCCGACCCGACGCGGGACCATTCTGTATGGAATTTGCATGTTCTCTCTGGGTACTCTGGCTTCCTCCCACAGTCCAAACACATGCAGCTTAGGTTGACTGGTGACTCTACATTGCCCGTAGCAGTGAGTGAGTGTGTGTGTGTGTGTGTGTGTGTGTGTGTGTGATTGTTTGTCTACATGTCAGCCCTGTGACAGACTGATGCCCTGTCCAGTGTGGACCCTACCTCTCACCCAATGTCAGCCGGGATTGGCTCCAGCCCCCCCACAATCCTATTCAGGATAAGCAGTATAGATCATTTGATTTTATAAATCAATCACGGCCAATATAATTTGGCTTTTTTGACAAAAAAATTACAAAGAAACGCTACATAAAACAGGTTGTTTTTATAAATGTGAAATAAAAGGCTGCATAAATATTCACCCAGTCAAATTGACTCAGAAAGACAATTACAACAACTCATGGATAGATTTGGAACAAAATCTATGCAAAGACATTTCATGTTGGATGAAGTTGTAGACTTTTTCTGAGACTTGAAACTGTGCATAGAAAAAAACAAGTGTGTCTAGAACACAGAGTGTCACAGAGAGAGAGAGCTACAGAAAGTGAAGGAAGAACATGTGTTCCCACCAGTGTTTTCGAGTAGCAGTGCTGCTGAATCACATCCACTAATAGTGTGACACCCATCACCCTGGCTAAAACTTCATTAGACAAGATCAATGTTGTCAGCCCTGGTCACCATATCTTACTACTACTACTGCAGCTCAAACACTAGCAGCCAACAAACATCAATAGCATTTCAGCTGTTATTGATATCTGATTAGTAGTCAGCACACACAGCAATTCTGTACCTTCCCACAGCTGGATGATGATTATGTGCCTCACCAACACTGGTCACTATCCACACGCTGTTGTACTCTGCAACCAATTTGATGCCCTTTGTTGTTAGATTTTCTCATCTTTAAATCTGATACTTAAAGAGTTGCAAGTGGGATGAGCTGCTCATTCCATTAGTGTTTCTTTCATTCTGTATTCCAGTTTCTATGGCTGGACCCAATTATTTGACTATTCTGATATTTGTTCATTGGACAGGTAATCGGTTTACAATTTTAGCATTCCAGTGTTCGAGACAGCAGCAAATTTCAATGCAGTCTGAGTTCGAAGAGGAAAGAGAACATGATGAAGGCAGCTTAGTCCATTAGCTGGTATTCACATCAATGAAAATGAAGCAAATCTCCAAGTAAGCCTATGCATTACTCGGATAGACTGACCAGATATCCTAAATGTAAATGGTCACCTTTTTGCCTGAACAAATATCACAACTTAATAAAGTAGCATAAAACCAGTCCTACAAGGAAATATTCACAGATTCAAAATTCTCGGCTCAAAAAATTAGAAACAAAACATTGTACTTGCTGTAGGAAGGTAGACAGACATACTCTTAGACACATTTTTCCAAAAAGTGTTGTGGGATATAACCAACAGAAGCCCAGTAATGAGGTAAGACATTCTGCTGTCACTAAGAGTGAATCTTTTTGTAGACATCACCTTGTTCACTGGTGTGGGTATGTCTAAATAAATCCCTGAGGAACATAATGTCTGCAGGACAGAAAGCTGTCGCTACATTATATTCAGAGGTGTTCCTAATATTCTGACCCTCTCATGTATGTAGCTCAGGAGGACAAAAGACCTAGACCGTAGAAGACGTGGACGCACAAAGCATGAATAGCCTTTCTTTAGCCCGTTTCCATTCATCAGTCACTTCATTTATTCCATTCAAACATTCTCTGACATATTAAAGGCTTAGTGTGAAGCCCCTCTGCCACAGAATTACATTTGTCATTTTTTAAATATTTTTCACCCAAACCAAAGCAAACCTTAATTGCCTCGTAACGCCTCACTTCATGCTCGGCATTGTTGTAGCAGTTAGAGCAGTCGCAGTTGCTGCACATCACTCCATTGGCAAAACACTCACAGTAGCTGAAAAAGACAATCCAGCAAAAATACATATTAAACTATATTTAATAACATGAAGAATGTGAAGTATATGTGTGTAGTCTTCTGCCTCTTTTGTGGGTTTATGAAAAGTGACTATTAATGTGACTGAAAGAGAATCTATCAGAAATTACTTTCAAGGGCAAAGATTTCTCAATTTAGCATGGTATTTATTCAGATCAAAGATATAAACGAACCCAGCATTAGATCACAAGATATGCATAAAGTGCCACTAAATAAAATCTGATATTAGGCTATTTTGATGTGTGTTGTACATGTCTGGAGAGCACAAACAAAAAGGTTTTCTGCTGCTGAACTTGAAATACTACTTTTAATAGTTTTAATGAGGCAATATTACATATCTTGATGCTGTCAGTTCACCAAAATCATCCATGACTTAGCAACTCATAAAAGAGCAGGACATTTTTTGTAATAAAAAAAAAAAAGTCTAAATTATTTCTGTAAATAGATAAATGATCTAAACAGATAAATAATCTAATTGTGCTACCTAGAAAGTACTGTTTTAATCATATGTCACTGGAGCGGGGCTTTTACGAGGCAGGAGAAATAAATAGGAGGCTACTGAAACAAAAAGGTATAGCTGTATGAAAAATCACAAACCGTTGCATTGTTGCCGTTTTATCTTGTTGTGGTGCAGTAAAGACATTGGGTAAAATGACTTTTTAATCCATCTTTTGTGTTTCTCTCTGCTTCTGTTCACCTCCCTTTGTCTCTGTTTAGACCTGGCTAGAGTATTTCACCTTCTGCATGTGTTCCACAGCAAATATTCCCACAAATCTTACACCTTTCATCAGATGTTAAATTTCAGTGACAGTTTCATGTGCTGCACTGCTCAATATGTGAACCAGGTGGAGCAGAAGTGTTCAGGTGAACAGGGCAGCCTTAAAATGCATAATGCAATAAACCAAATACACACTTACGTATAAGCTGTGCTGCTTTTATTCTATTTTATATATGCAAGGCCTCGGAGCGGTCAGGAAACAAAAACAGAGGCAATTTAATTATTTATTGGCTTAAAGGAGGCTGCAAATCTTTAATAAATATACTTCAGAGGGACAAGTTGGTGGTTTGAAGAGCTATGATTTATTGTAATCTTTTACAGTATCATATACAAATGAAGTACAAACATCACAAAAATTCCAATGATGGCACTACATTCTGCTATAAAGAAAACTGAGGATTAAAGTAATTCTAAGATGATCTACTCACAGTTGGAGGCATTTGGATCTGCTGCAATGGCATGGTTTCCTTGGCTCTGATTCACACACAGTTCCTGCAGCTCTGCAGGGGTAAATGGAGAATATATTTAACTTCAAGTCCACGTTAAATAAAGCTCGGTATAGAATCCCAGCAATCTGCTACTTACATTCCAGTACTTTATGGAACTTTAAAACAGATTGACAAACCACAGTGAGGCCTTCCAGCACATTGTTTTTGTAAGACAAACACAAACAAGTTATTAGTGAATGGGCCTCATATTGCCTGGCCAATGATACTACGTTGTCAAAATTTCAAATCCTATGTCTTTAAGTTATTGTAATTGCATGGGTTATCCTCAATCACATGGAGGCATTTTCGCTTTGAAAAACAGATGGCAAAAAGACATCTCGACAGTTTGTTTCACCATCTCCGAACTAACCACCTCACAGACTATGAAGCTGGCACGTACAGAGGAGGGTGCTCTAGGGGCTCAAGCCCCTGCCCTATTCCCAAGCTAATCAAAACAATATTTAATTATAAGTAATTATTTTGTGGTCAATGTGAACATGCACATAACAGTAACAAATGCATCACACTAAATTCAAAGAATGTACCCATTTATTTGCCCCAGCTCTGCCATCAGACATGGGTATAGTGAGGTTGTTGGACTCTTAGCACTTACACTTTACATTTTAGACAGTTCCAGCACACTCTAGTCTTTGAACCATTTTATTTCATCTGTTAAAAAAGGCAGTGGTAGAAGAAGTACGAAAAACCATTTATTTAAGTAAAAGTAGCAATACCACAATGTAAAAATACTCTGTTACAAGTAGAAGTCCTGCATTCAAATTGTTACCTACCGTAAGCAAAAGTACAAAATATTAGCATAAAAATATACTTGAAATAGCAAAAATAACACAGAATGGCACATTTCACATTAATGTATTAATGTATGTCATATTATTAGAATGATGCATTATTGTATACTTAAAATGTTATGCTGCAGCTGGTAAGGTGAAGCTAATGTTAAATACCTTATATGCTTATAATGTGAATTAGTGTTGACTAGCTTGTGAATTTCCTACTGGAGATGCATCTCCTTCCTCAGCAGGATGATGGCTGCCTTGTCCCATGGTGTTTATGCTTGCATAGTATTGTTTGTGCAGATGAATGTGGAACCTTCAGGTGTTCGGAAATTGCTCCAAAGGATGAACCAAACTTGTTTGATTTTCCAATTATGTCAAACAAAGAGGTACTGAGTTTAAGCCTAGGTAACAAAATTTGACCTGGTTACTATGACCTGGATGACTGAGAATCTGCACAGAAAATTTGAAGCTGTTTGATTTAACATGAATCAGTACTTGGAAGTACTGATTCATGTACCGATGTAATTCGATTGTTACCCTTAAACATACTGAGTTTGGTACCTAACCCTAATGTCTGTATGGTACAGACAGCAACCACATTATGGTAGCTCCTCTGTTCTTACCGTCCTAGGGGGTCTTGAGGCTGCATGTTGGACTCATACAGGCGGCAAGCTGCCTGGTAGTACTGGGGAAGTTGCATATTAATGATTAAATACATTAATCACAATCTATCAATCAGTTATGGTAAAAATGCAGTTGGGACTGGGGTAACCGGGAGTCGGGGACAGCTGAGATCTGGGTAGAAATGGAACAAACTCTGATCTCCTACCTGGCTGGGAGTCCCCAGTACACTTACATCTGATAAAAAAAAGGACAGAACATTATTACAGAAATCCCACTTCACTCAACAAATGTAAAACTTTGTGGTCAAATTTGGGTAAGCCATTTATTTGCTACAGCTGTGTTAAGAGTTCTTATAACACATTAATATAAATGGACTTCATCTATCTGTGTGAGTGTTACTTTAGGTTGGGAGTTTAGTTTCTTTTCTATAGGCTGGGTCATCTGAGATAAGGATTACATATTCAAGGGTTATTTTCAGGTTGAGGGCAAATTTGCCTAAAAAATTTTCTGTGTGCCCTCTTAAATGTTCTTACTTATGGAAGTACAAATATGCAGGGTGTTCTATCTCAGTACACTGAGTTATGTCTGTTGGACTGTGTAAATTAAGCTTTTCCATGCATTTACAAAAGTATCAAAAGTTGCAACAAAAATAGTTGGCAGTCTTATTCAGTTTTAAACAAATTTTTCTAATAAGATCATAACTTTGCAAATTTTATATCTAATTTTGGTAAACATCTTGCATCTCTGTGTGTTTTAGGGTGAAACAGCTTTTAATTCTGGTATATTTTTTAATTTTGACATTTTGGAATAAAACAAAATTGACTGGTTTTTATCAGGTTTTGTTGCCTCCTCACTGAAATCCTTTAATACAGGGGCGTCAAACTCAATCGCACAGGGGGCCAAAACCCAAAGCACACCTTAGGTCACAGGCCGAACAGGATAAAAATGTATTGAACAAACTAAAACTAAATGTTTTTTGAACATAAATATGAATCGAAACAGACAGGATACAATATTATTCCAAAATACATAAACTTGAACTTAAAATCACCAACCATATTTCTGCTAAGACATTTACAAACACCTGCTTTTTGTCTGGACACAAGACGTCGCACACTTTCATCATACAGCTCTTCAGAAACTCTCCCTTGGTAAATGTCCGGGCTGATTTTCTCCTCTGTCCCAATAAAACTTGCTTTCACAGCAGCTTCACTGTGATTTCACTTTGGTGAAAACGTCTGCTGTGATGTCAGATTCCTCTTCAACTCCTCTACCTTCTGTAGCTTCTGCTCTGCATTCACGTTTTTCAGCTTGTCCTGATGTTTTGTCTCGTAGTGCCATCTTAGGTTATATTCCTTAATTACAGCCACATTAGCTCCACAAATAAGACACACGGGTTTACCGACAATGTCAGTAAACATATACTCAGCCTCCCACCGGTTTAGAAAGGCTCTGTTTTCAGAATCAACTTTTCTCTTGGCCATTGTTAGGGGGCTAGCCTTGACTTGAAATTAGGGTTGTATACATCAGCAGACGCTTGATTGATCTGACTTAATTGATGTGGGAATGATCGCAGGTAGCCTATTGTTCGGTAAGGCAGCTGTTGCGCTGCATTATGGGATTTGTAGTTTGTGCGTTATCGGCGCTTCATATCACCAGGCCATTAAAAAAAAAAAAAGATATATAAAATGATCTCGCAGGCCGGATGTAATTGTACACCAGGCCTTGAGTTTGACAGATGTATTTTAAAATATGTAGTATTACAACACTGACCTGGGTTTCCAGATTTATTATTTTCAAATTTGTTGGTGCACACTAACTAGTGCTACGTCAAGAAAATCTAACTGGAATTACTGCTTTTTCTTTGCACAGCGAATTTGTAAAGCCTTCATTCATAAAGTTATTTTTTTAAAAGAAATGACATGAATACAACTCTTTTATAAACATTTAACATTAAAAATATAGTGTGCATAATTCGCAGGGGCAAAAAAAGAGATTACTAACGAAACACATGCTAAGATGTTACCTACAGTGCTTGAGGCCTTGCAGAGACAAGGGGAAACTGCTGCATGAATGCATCCTTTATCAAACCGCAATTATACTTAATTTTACAATTTAAACAGAGTAAGAATTTAATAACATTTTTTTCCATCTGAATCCAGCATCAAATTAGTGATGATGATCAACTTTACCAGAATTATTTGAACAAAAAAGGGTGACAGAAATACCTGATGCCTGATATATCTGATATTTAGTCTACCTGGTTATAATTTTTGATTATATAATCTAATTATTATTTACACAATTCAATAACAGCTTCTATGATGATGTAATTTCTGTAGTAGAAAAATATAATCTGAAACAACTTTTCACATGACCGTCTACAACTACAACTAGTAGCTCCAGTCTCACAAATGACCATAAAACTGAGTGGACACACTAACAAGTATCAACACAACCTCAACAGCTATCACTCAGAGCTGTGCTCCTCAATCCACTCAGCCTAACAAGCTTGGCATAGTTAACCACAGTTATATAGGTCTACACAGATGCTGCATAAACATGTATCAATTATTCAATAGCCTAACAGTTTCATGAACAGCTGCTGGCCATTATGGGGGTGCATCAATGCAGCACCCACAGTTACCTATTTGCAGGCCCAAATAGAACCTGTACCCGCAGAATTCTGACAACACCTCCACAGATTTTCCACAGATTTTGAAAAGAAAGTAGAAACTCAGAATGTGAGCATGTGTTTGTTCCCACCTGCATGTGCAGAACAGTTGTGTGATGTTGTGAATGTTGGTTCACAGATGTCAATGGCCGCAACCTGTCCACTTCCATACACATTACACACCACCTATGCAGAGAATGGAAAGCCTTTAATAACTGATTTATCATTGATAAGTTGAAAAGATAACCAATAAATTCATCTGCAACTATATATGATTCAGGCTCTTTCATTACTTTAGACATTGCCAGTCATTTCAATGGTGTGTGTAACAGTACATTAATGTCAAATAGATCATTTCTCATAGTGAGTACTTATACTTTTGGTACTTAAATATATGCATAACGGCTGCCTATTAAGGTTTTCACTTGGTTGTCAATATTGACAATATTAGTGGTTATCTTGGAGCAGTCTGATCAAACCTTTGGCTCTTCTTGGAAAATAGGTCATTAATTGTAAATTCTAAAACTTATCGCTGTATGTGCTACTGTTATTATTTTCTAGATCACTGCTGAGTTCATGCAAATTACAACTACTCCCATGAAAACAAAGTTCATGGGGCAGATGGACAAGCACCCCACCAAACTGCTGGAAATCGTCAGGAGTAAGGGAGGAACTGTGAAAGAGAGGATCACAAACCTTGCAGGTTTTAGGTGAGATATCTCTGAATGAGTTGTGTATCAGTGGGGTCCATGAATAGTCCTTTTTCTCCATGTGTGTAATTTTAATAAATGGTAACTCTCCTGCCTCAGATTGGTGACACCACCATCAGATGAGAATGTATCCTCTGATCTACCTGGGTGCACCTGTTGAGCACCTTATCAAAGAATGCCAGGGCATGGCTTTTGTGTGTGTGTGTGTGTGTGTGTGTGTGTGTGTGTGTGTGTGTGTGTGTGTGTGTGTATACACATTGT